AGTCACAACAAGCAGACATCATAGAGTCACAACAAGCAGACATCATAGAGTCACAACAAGCAGACATCATAGAGTCACAACAAGCAGACATCATAGAGTCACAACAATCAGACATCATAGAGTCACAACAAGCAGACATCATAGAGTCACAACAAGCAGACATCATAGAGTCACAACAAGCAGACATCATAGAGTCACAACAAGCAGATATCATAGAGTCACAACAAGCAGACGTCCAAGAGTCACATAAACCTCAGATGAAAATTGCCAGAGTAAAGTCAAAGTGTACTACTGTATCTACTGTAACACACACACACACACGCACATACACATACACGCACACTCACACGCACACACAGACACACACACGCACACACACAGACACACACACACTCACACATACACTCACACAGACACGCACATACACATACACGCACACTCACACGCACACACAGACACACAGACGCACACACACACACACACACATACACACACACAGACACACACACTCACACCTACACACACACACACAGACACACACACACACTCTGCATTGGGGGATTGCATCAGGTGAAGTTATTCTTGGATCTCACACAGTTTTGTTCTAATTAACTCTCTCCTCGTGGACTTTGTCTTTGTTGCTGACTCGTGTTTACGGAGGAGACGTCTGCTGAGTCATGGTTAGTGTACCATGAATACAGATTTCTTGGATTGAATGAAACCGGACCAAAGATAAGATAAAAACTATAGAAATGTGTGTGTCTGTGTGTGTGTGTACCGGTATATATGTGTGTGTGTGTATGTGTGTTTAGGAGGGGCGGGGCGTTCCACAGCTTTGGTCCAGATCATAGACTGTATATTTTAACGGACAGAGTCACGCCTATCTCCGCCGTTCTAACTAATGGGCCAAAAAATGTGCTCTACTGGAGCTATCCAAAATGGCCGCGAGTGGTCCCGCCCACAAGAAAATTGTGAAAAAACGCATCTGCGCATGCGTCAGCCGGCGAGAGACCCATTCATTTGAACGAGAGACTTCAAAAATTCACAGCAAAAAAATTCACCCCCCTCAGCATTGACACACATGTGGAACAGAGCTTTGGGCCAAGAGCCAACTTTTGGACCATCCTGTAATGACGTTTTCGAGAGGTAAGAAGATGCTATATGTTAGCATTAGCTAATTCTTATTCTGGGTCCACCCCCATCGGCCCGGGGTGGTATTGCAGCTTGTCAGCGCACATCATTTTGGACACTTTTGAGCCGGGACCCGCCCCCACTGGTCCAGCCCCAGAGAAGGCTGCAGTTTGCCCAGGTCTGTCCGTCCGGAGGAGCGGATCCCTTTCTCATATGGGTCTCCCTCCCTGTGGGTTTGCCTAGTGCTCCCCAAGGTTTCTCACTTTTTCCCACTGGGTTTTTTAAGAGTTTTTCCTTGTCGATGCAGGAGGGTCTTGTTGGACAGTTAGTGTCCAACAGAAAGGATTGGTGATGATCAGGACACTTTAGCATTCTACAACATGTATGGACATTTTCTTCTGTGTGTGCTTTATATTCTCCATGTGTTTTAACTGTTGATTCTCTGACCTGTGTTGGTGATTTCAATGGTTTTGTTAAGTCCTCTGAGATGACTTCTGTTGTGACCTAGGGCTATACAAGAATAAATTATATTGTATTGTATTGTATTGTCTGGTTTAGACAGAAGGGGTGGGGGGAAGCTCCTGATGTTAATATCAGACATTTGTTTGCACGTGTTATTTATGAGACTAAAGTTACGTACCCCATCTTGAAATGCTAAAAAGTAAATCTATAGCTCTCTTATGCAACACAGAGTCACACATATGTCCTGTACCTTTGTTATTTGACTCTTTTAGCTGAGAGCTGATTCTGCCACAAACACACATGGAACCTATTGATAGAAGCAACTGTTATAGAGCCAAGACCCAGAAACATGGAATTTAAAGGTGCAGTAAGCAATTTTGTTTGCTTAGCTGTAGCACCAACTGGAAACCACTCCCCCTCCCCTTCCCTCTCCACCAAACCACTCCCCCTCCCCTTCCCTCTCCACCAAACCACTCCCCCTCTCCTTCCCTCTCCACCAAACCACTCCCCCTCTCCTTCCCTCTCCACCAAACCACTCCCCCTCTCCTTCCCTCTCCACCAAACCACTCCCCCTCTCCTTCCCTCTCCACCAAACCACTCCCCCTCTCCTTCCCTCTCCACCAAACCACTCCCCCTCTCCTTCCCTCTCCACCAAACCACTCCCCCTCCCCTCCCTCTCAAACGTGAAATTGGCATTTTCTGTTCAGCCATTTTAGGCTTTAGAAAATCCGATAACTCCAGTGCACTCGTGAGAAACAGGAAGAGGGTGAAGGCGGTAAACACATCCCATTGGTTTATTTTTATCGGTCAGCTCCAAAAACGCTGGGCGACAGTAGCTCAGTTGGTAGAGCATTGGCCTTCAGGCCAGAAGGTTGTGGGTTCAATTCCCACCTCTACACCTTCTCCACCGACTCCCACTGATGACTGCTGTCGTTGTGTCCTTGTGCAAGACACTTAACCCCACTTTGCCCAAAGCCCCCACTGAAAGATCAAGGCTATGCTCACACTCAGAGAGCAGCCGTCCTCCTGTGGACTCACCACCTGCAGAGGGTCAGTGAGGGGCTGGTGCTATGAGACTTGGGAGGCATCTCTGACTGCCACCCCCCTGACCCAGAAATGGATTAAAGGGTAGAAAATGGATGGATGGATGGAGCTCCAAAATATTTTTTATGAATTTTTGGAGACTATAGACATCTGGTCAATTCCATTAATATTTAAAAACGCATTATAACATTTAGGGCTGGGCGATATGGCTGAAAACTATATCACAATATAAGTAATTCATATCGATCGATAACGATATATATTGATTGTTTTTTATCTATTTTTTTAAACGTAAATAAATACATTTGTCGTGTCGGCTAACACATGTTAGCAGCCTTGTTTACAGTCAGGGGGAAATGAGGCTGGAGACAAATATTCACAAGCAGTCTCCCTCACTTTAGTCCTGGTTTAGTCCTGGTTTAGTCCTGGTTTAGCTCCTGTTTTGGCTGTTTTCGAGTGTCTTGTGTCCCCGTAGCGGCTCCAGAAAAAGTTAATCTCTTGCTTTTGCCGAATGCATAGAGTCTCTGTACCCACTGCCTCTCCCGCCGCACATGCTGTTCCTCGCACGGACGTGTTTAACCACTGACACGGCCTGAAACACCCTCTTTAGATCCATGGCTATTATAATCAATCCATGATCCATGGACGCTACGCATGGTGCGCTTGTTTTTTTGCTTTTCCCAGAAAGTTTTGCGGTTTGTAATCGGCTGTGATAGGTCGAGAAGCCTTTGCCTACATCCCCGAGAATGCTGTGCGCTTCTGACTCGGCTTTACTTCCTGTGTTTTGTTCCTGTTTTTTTTGAACGGACTGAAGTGAAACTATCGAAGTTCTATCGACGCCGTTTTCTATTGATATCGAACATGTGTCTATCGCAATATTAACGGCTCATTAACCGAGCGCGAGGTCTGTATGGAGAAATATCAGACCGCGGCCTTAATGTACAGACCGAGCCGTGGCGAGGTCTGTGCAAAAAGGCCAAGGTCTGATATTTCTCTGTACAGACCAAGCAAGCAAGGTTAATAAATGTTTTATTATATGACTCTCGTCTGTGTCTTTACCAATGCTTTTGAGATATTTGTGAAGTATGTTCATGTCCGACTTGGTTTTGTGTGATACACGCTGCGGACAAATTGTCATGGTAACGGTCCGAGGAAAGATATCAAATGTGATACCCGCTGTTCGGACCAATTGTCATGGTAACGGTCCGAGATGGGAAAATATCAGACCGCAAATAAGCCAATCAGAGCGCGCGTACGGTCCAAATCATATAATAAATACCGTTATCGTTTTATCGCCCAGCCGTAATAACTTTTACTTTTAGGGTTCAGGGACGTTTTCCCACAATATATAAACAAATCACTGAATGCATCTTTAATACTGAGTGGCTGTGGTTTGAAAGTTACATCCCCCAGGTTTAGAAGAGGTGGGGTCCTGCTGGCTCTGCTGATGGGTAATTGCAGCAGATGAAAAACAGGAGCTGGAGCCTGTGTCAGCGTTTGGTTGGACCGAGCGTCATTAGATAATGGTCTGGTTCCGCTCTTTCCTTTTCCCGCCCTGACCCCCGTAAACCGCACTTCCCACAATGCTTTTCTGCAGCGTTTACTTAATGCAATAGACTTCCACCGTTGCCAATTAGCGTTTGGTGTTGGCTTATATTCCCTCGTTAGCGCTGCCGCCTCAGCTCCTTCTGTTTAAGGAGAGCGGCTGCGGGCTTTCACTTGAGCAACGGAATTACAAACTCAAATGAAGAGATGATATTCACTATAGCTTCTCTCTCTGTGGTCTCTCTCTCTGGTCTCTCTCTCTTTCTTCTCTCTGCTCTCTGGTCTCTCTCTGGTCTCTCTAGTCTCTCTCTTGTCTCTCTGCTCTCTCTGGTCTCTCTCTGGTCTCTCTCTCTGGTCTCTCTATCTTGTCTCTGGTTTCTCACTGGTGTCTCTCTCTTGTCTCTCTCTCTGGTCTCTCTCTATGGTCTCTCTCTTGTCTCTCTCTTGATTCTCTCTGGTCTCTCTCTGGTCTCTCTCTGGTCTCTCTCTCTGGTCTAAAATGGTTGTACTATAGCAGTGGTGTGTTGCTGCTGCTTCCACACCACTGTCTCTCCTCCACATCCTCGACCTTAAATCTCGATGTGAAACATGAAAACCTGACGTGGAGGTGTTCTGTAGCGTGTGTTCAGTCTTAATGACTGCACATGAAGCTGCATTGATCTCATTTCCAGTCGCTGTATAAATATAAAGTGCTCGACCAACAGCACAGATTGATGCTTTGGTTGGAGCTCTACATCTGGTCTTCATGTTTGTCTTTACAATCTACGGCCTCATTCACACCGAGCTAAAACACCGGTCTTCCTCACAGCGGTCTCAGAATGACTCTGCCTTTTCCCAAAGTGACACTGGTCCTTGGTTTAGCAGAATCAGTCTAGCCATTGTAAGTAGCAGGAAGTCACAAGCTAGAAATTTGCTTTGGCTCAAGTTGTAAGAGTAAAAAGTTACATCCAGGTTCATCCAGGTGTCCAACAGCTCACAGCTGTTGGACACAAACCGACAACACACTCTCAGCATCAGGACATCTGCACAATTACAACACAACAATATCATAACTTTTCTTAAAATTACTACACTATATACAAGAGCACACAATATACATTATCTATCTCATGAATTAGCATAGCATATCAGAATCAGAATCAGAATCAGAATCAGAATCATTTTTATTGCCACGTGAGTAACAAAGTTATCACTTGGAAATTGTTTTGGCAGAGAGCGTGCCACTTCGCCATTTGCGGCGCTGTGTGCAGCAAGAAACAGCAGAGAGCAATAACATACAGTTCACAGACAATTGGATAGACACATTGTGCTTTTTATAAACCACGGATTTTTTTCTCGGGAAGAGCACCTCTTCGGCCGGCCCAATGTAGCTGTCAGAGGGGGGCGGGATCAGGGAGGGGGTGAGTAGGAAAACAATAAGGAATGGAGGGGAGGGAGGGAGCAAGATGGATAGGTAGAGGGAGGCGGGGGTGGGGGATCCTTGCTGAAGACTGAAATAGTGTGAGTTGTTGTAGATTGTGGGACCTTGTTTATGGCCTTGGCTGAGGAATGTGAGATAAGAGTGGAGAGAAGCCACAGGAGGAGAAAAACACATCGCCTGCAATGTCGCAGTCAAAAGCAGGCAGATATTCTATTAATTCCAATTAAACCGAATTCCGGTGCCCTCAGACCTCCGTACACAGGGGCAAATCCAAGCCGGGTCAGAGAGATCAAGCCTGACAAACAATGTCATTCAATCTCAATTCCAAAGTCTTATGTCCATCAAGTGAACGAGCTGCGAGGTCTTTGATCAACTGTTCCACCAAAACCACTCTTCTTTGTCCAGACACGGCACTCTCAACCACGACACGGCTAAGCTCCTTGTACATCCCATCAATTTTATCGGCCAGCAGGTCGTGAATCTTGCGAACTGCCATGCCTCCGAATTTGTGGTAGAAGAGGATCGCTCCAAACCCAAACAGGAGGATTCCCACCACCAAAATGCCAAAGATATATACGTCTTCCGAATCTTCAATGGACAGGGTCGACAGACAGAGGGGCTGCCACTTGTTCCAGCTGTCAAGCGTATACCCCGCTGGTGAAGTCCCGTCCGGACACACGGGCTCTCCAGACCCACGCTTACGTGTTGAAAAGATAGAATCAATTGCGTTGAGGGACCAATTAATCATTTCCATTCTGTTAAAGTTGTCTGTGGCAAAGCTCCAGGAAAAAAGACAAAAACAGGAGATAGCAAGCCGTTCAGAAGCAGGAGCGGACTAAGACACGTCTTTGCTCGACGGAGGAGGAAGGAGGAATATGGTGACGGTAGCATAAGGTGACAGTAGCATAAGGTGACAGTAGCATATGGTGACCATAGCATAAGGTGACAGTAGCATAAGGTGACAGTAGCATATGGTGACGGTAGCATAGGGTGACAGTAGCATATGGTGATGGTAGCATATGGTGACAGTAGCATAAGGTGACGGTAGCCTATGGTTAACGGTTGCATATGGTGACGTATCATAAGTTGACAGTAGCATAAGGTGACAGTAGCATATGGTGACGGTAGCATAAGGTGACGGTAGCCTAAGGTGACGGTAGCCTAAGGTGACGGTAGCCTAAGGTGACGGTAGCATAAGGTGACAGTAGCATATGGTGACGGTAGCATATGGTGACAGTAGCATATGGTGACGGTAGCCTATGGTTAACGGTTGCATATGGTGACGCTATCATAAATTGACAGTAGCATAAGGTGACAGTAGCATAAGGTGACAGTAGCATATGGTGACGGTAGCATAAGGTGACGGTAGCATAAGGTGACGGTAGCATAAGGTGACGGTAGCATAAGGTGACGGTAGCATAAGGTGACGGTAGCATAAGGTGACGGCAGCATAAGGTGACGGTATCATAAGGTGATGGTAGCATTAGCTGACGGCAGCATAAGGTGACGGTATCATAAGGTGATGGTAGCATTAGCTGACGGCAGCATAAGGTGACGGTATCATAAGGTGACGGTAGCCTAAGGTGACGGTAGCATAAGGTGATGGTAGCAGATGGTGATGGTAGCAGATGGTGACGCTATCATAAGGTGATGGTAGCAGATGGTGACGCTATCATAAGGTGATGGTAGCAGATGGTGACGCTATCATAAGGTGATGGTAGCAGACGGTGACGGTAGCATAGGAAGTTCTGGATGGACCAAAGCCTCCTGTCTGAGGGGAGTGGTTGGAATAGTCCCCTTGCAGGTGAGAGGGGAGTGGTTGGAACAGTTCATGTGCAGGTGAGAGAGGGGGGGATTGGAACAGTCCATGTGCAGGTGAGAGGGGGGTGGTTGGAATAGTCCATGTGCAGGTGAGAGGGGGGTGGTTGGAACAGTCCATGTGCAGGTGAGAGGGGGGTGGTTGGAATAGTCCATGTGTAGGTGAGAGGGGAGTGGTTGGAATAGTCCATGTGCAGGTGAGAGGGGAGTGGTTGGAATAGTCCATGTGCAGGTGAGAGGGGAGTGGTTGGAATAGTCCATGTGCAGGTGAGAGGGGAGTGGTTGGAACAGTCCATGTGCATGTGAGAGGGGGGTGGTTGGAATAGTCCATGTGCTGGTGAGAGGGGGTGGTTGGAACAGTCCATGTGCAGGTGAGAGGGGAGTGGTTGGAACAGTCCATGTGCAGGTGAGAGGGGAGTGGTTGGAACAGTTCATGTGCAGGTGAGAGAGGGGGGGATTGGAACAGTCCATGTGCAGGTGAGAGGGGGGTGGTTGGAATAGTCCATGTGCAGGTGAGAGGGGGGTGGTTGGAACAGTCCATGTGCAGGTGAGAGGGGGGTGGTTGGAATAGTCCATGTGTAGGTGAGAGGGGAGTGGTTGGAATAGTCCATGTGCAGGTGAGAGGGGGGTGGTTGGAATAGTCCATGTGCAGGTGAGAGGGGAGTGGTTGGAACAGTCCATGTGCATGTGAGAGGGGGGTGGTTGGAACAGTCCATGTGTAGGCGCAGGCGACGTACGGGTACCGGGGTGATCTGCAGCGATAGACAATACACAATATTTACAGTTTCTTTATCTACGTGTGTGTTTGTGTGTCTGTGTGTGTTTGTGTGTGTGTTGTGTATCAGAGACAAGCTTCCTCTTGGGGAATGCTCAGATTGTGGAGTGGCCCGTCGTCTACAGCAACGATGGTTTCTGCAAACTCTCCGGGTTCCACCGCGCAGAGGTCATGCAGAAGAGCGCCACCTGCAGGTAACACACTGAACTGGGCTGTGGTCTCTCTCTGGTCTCTCTCTAGTCTCTGGTCTCTCTCTGGTCTCTCTGGTCTCTCTCTGGTCTCTCTCTGGTCTCTCTCTGGTCTCTCTCTGGTCTCTCTCTGGTCTCTGGTTTCTCTCTAGTCTCTCTCTGGTCTCTCTCTGGTCTCTCTCTGGTTTCGCTCTAGTCTCATGAAATAACAAACTACCTAAATGGTCTCCTTCTTCTCTGAGTCTTGTGTGGTTTTCAGGGCTAGGTCTCAGTAGAAACCTGTATTTCTGCTGATTGTAACTTTTGCTGAGATCTAAATACAGCGTGAATAATGTTTGTGTGTTCGATTCTGGGGCCGTTTTATGACTTTTATGAGTTCCATGAGTCGCTCTGATCGGTGTCATTAAAAACAAATTAGAGCGAAACACAGCTGCAGGGAGTACGTCTGGGAAATACTGAGAATAGACATTTGAATACACTCATGCAGTAGCAGTGGTAGCAGTATCAACACTACTAGTAATAAGCAATTGTAGTAGGAGCATCAACAGTAGTAGCAGTAGCAGCAATAGTAGTAGTGGTAGTAGTAGTAGTAGTAGCAGTAGTAGCATCAACAGTAGTAGCAGCAGTAGTAGTAGCAGTAGCAGTAATAGTAGCAGTAGCAGTAGTAGCATCAACAGTAGTAGCAGTATCAGCAGTAGTAGTAGCATCAACAGTAGTAGCAGCAGCAGCAGTAGCAGTAGCAGTAGTAGCAGCAGCAGCAGTAGCAGTAGTAGCAGCAGTAGCATCAACAGTAGTAGCAGCAGCAGCAGTAGCATCAACAGTAGTAGCAGCAGCAGCAGCAGTAGCATCAACAGTAGCAGTAGTAGCAGCAGCAGCAGTAGCATCAACAGTAGTAGCAGCAGCAGTAGCATCAACAGTAGCAGTAGTAGCAGCAGCCGCAGTAGCAGTATCAGTGGTAGCAGCTATATGATTAAAATCGTTTACAAATATTCACACCTAACCTGTTGTAGGATTTTTTTTTAAAGTTGTGAATCTGAGGCTCTGTAGTTTTGGCCTCTGATGACTCATTCATTTGAATTATAACTGGGAACGTCATGTGCACAGTGGTGATCTAAACTGACAGGGGGATCCTCAGGGGATCGTTTTGGACCCATTGTTATTTCAATACAAATTAAAAGTTAAAAGTACCAAAGTATATACAGTATATATTTTGGATCATTCACGAGGCAGTACCGGAATATTACAGCCTGATCCGGTCCTATCCCAGAAGCTAAGCAGGGCAGGATCTGGTCAGTGCTGTGATGGGAGACCTCTGTAACCTCAGCTTCCACAGTGGACATTGTGGTTGTGTCTTGAGGTTTCTACCACATAATATAAGTCTGGTGTGTGTGTGGTTGTTGGTCAGAGCGGCCGATGGCACAGATTAGTCACCTCAGGCCTGTCAGTCTGCCCCAGGGCATCTTTTGCTTGATCACAAATGGGATTTCTCTGCAGTTTTGGATCTAACTTGTGTTTCTCTCCTCAGTTTCATGTACGGAGACCTCACGGATAAAAAGACCATGGATAAAGTTCGAGAGGCGTTCGACAACTACGAGTCGGACTGCTTCGAGATCCTGCTGTACAGAAAGAACCGTGAGTCTCGCTAACAACCCCCAGCATCACAGCAGCGCTTTGGGTCTGTGAAACTGTGCTCTATAAATAAAGATTACTACTTACAACTTATGCCGCTTTTCCACAGTCCTAGTACGGTACGTTTTGACTCTACACGGCGCTCCATGGCCCAGTTCGCGTGCTTTTGCATCAAAAATAGCACCCCCAGTATGTCCTCAGCGTTGTCAGACCACGTCATTTACGTGTGACGCGTAACTAGTACTGGTGCGGTGCATGGATTTATTATAATACCAGAGCAAGTGTTTAATAGAAAATTCAGCACAGCACGAGTAGTTTTTGAAAATACTTATGTCTTAAAAGAATGACCCAGAAACTGTGAAGTCAATGGTGCTGACTGCTCTGTACAATCTGAATGGGACATACCTGTAGCAACAGCAGCCTGTGTTGCAGAGGAGGAGGGCTGCATGTCCGAGGATACTGCTAGGCTATAGCTAATGCTAGCGCTAGCTCGAGATTCGCTCACTCACTAACTCTGGATTCCAAAGCTACTACTATAGAGATATCTCACGTGACGTCACGATGCCTCGACCTCGCGGGGCATCCGCCATACTGGAGGACAAGCAAACGCTGTATGATAGTGGCGTGCACCCGGGACCGCATAAACATGTTCAAATCTTTTGCCATTTTTGGCTGCAGCAAAAGGAGAGACAGGGAAAATAAGTTGTGTTACCGACTGCCAGCCGTCCTTACTTCACACGGCTCAAAAACAGAAGACATCTCAAAGAAACGAGAGAGAAATGGCACAACCATACGCAACAACAAAAAACTAATAGCCACCAGAGCGCCCGAATATGCTCGGATCATTTCATTTCTGCTAAGTGAAATCAATTTGATGGCGGATTTAGTGTTATTCCGAAACAAACAGAAGTTTAAGGATAAAACATATCTGTCTGACTGCAACGTGGGGTTGCTCCATAGACTGTAGCTTAGCTTGTAGCAAAGCTGTTATATATTTGGTCTCACACAGGACCTCACCCGGTTCACAGGGTGTCTGACTTACCGAAGGCCAGCAGACATGTGAACGACTGAGCCGTGCTCGAGGGTGCCCCGTACTAGTATTTATTAATAAAATATACGGCTCCTCACAGTAGACGCAGAAAGCTCCATTGATTTGAATGTAATCTCATTATTTCCACTGCAGTGTAGCCACACATAGATCCATGGTGTAACAATAAACACATTAAATGTTAATCGGAGAATACATTATACATATACATTCTTAATACACGTGCACAGAGGTTTTCAGAATTTTCTGTTCACGTTTTCATGAAAAAACACTGTTTTAATGCGACAATATGCGACCGCGGTAAACCTGGATGTAACGATAAACATTAATAATACATTTTAGGATGCATTTTCAGAGGATCTGATTCATGAATTTAGGTTGAGTATATATTTGGGTCACTAACTGCTGAAGTTTCAAATTCTCTGTTCAGTTTTCATGTAGTTCGAGAGAGTTCTAGTTTTGAACGTCCAGTTATAGATAGCTAACAGGGCTGTTACTCGCCGAGGTTGTCCTCCAGTATGGCTGCCGTGGCTGCTAGTCACGTGACCGTAGGATCCCTCTATACTACACTTATCACATCTATCACTGCCCTCAGAGGAGGATCCAGGGTTTAAACTCGTCATATGGCAACTCGAGCAGTAAAGGACCGAGGGAGAGACAGCGGCAGCCATAGGGGTAGTGAGTTAGCGGCTAAGCTAGGCTAGGCTAGGCTAAGCTAGTCCGGACTACAGCAGACTCCGAGACCAGACAAACAATCGATACCCAAACCTCAGCTACAATAATAATAAATGAATGAAACACAGTCTTGATACAATCACAGATTTATTGAAAACAAAAGTAAAGTGCAAAACCAACAGTTTACAAAGTCAAAAGTACGTATGTCTGAGACCAGGTCCAGACCAGGTCCAGACCAGGTCCAGACCAGGTTCAGACCAGGTTCAGACCAGGTCCAGACCAGGTCCAGACCAGGTCCAGACCAGGTCCAGACCAGGTTCAGATGAGGAGAATACTCTGGTCACTCATTACTCGTTGGTAATCTCCACACTTATGGAAAGGGATTCTCAAACAAATATACACTCGACAACTTAAATACAAGCACAAAACAGAATGACAACATGTGAATACTGCAGATAATACGAGATAAAGCACAGTAGCACAGGGAGCACGTTAGCTTAGCTGCTATCGATAGCTAAATGAAGCTAAATGTAGCTAGCTCACTGTGTACAACAGACAATCGAACATGTAAACAGTAAATACATTTCAGTGAGAGCTTTAGGGGATTTGTAGCTAGCCAGTTATTTCAGGATTACCACAGACTAGTCACAAATCCAGAGCTGGTGATCTCCTGAAAACTGTTGAGCCTCGAGCTGCCTTTGAATTCTTTCTTTGGCCTGAAGAGAGGAACGTGTGGACCTCGTCCACCGACCAGGACCAGGACTTTTGGGGCTTTCTGTGCAATTCCATTTCTCTGGAGTGAGGAAGACGTAATGTAGCCGAAGCAGAGCCGAGCAGAGCAGCCTGTTTTAAAGATGGCGGTTGAGTTGTTTTTCCCAAAGGGTCAGAGGTCGCTTCCAGTGACGACACTCGTTGACCAATCAGTGTGAGGCAGTGGGCCGACGTCACGTCATGGCACGGGTACTATGGGGATGGAACCACGGCTGAGGCAGTACGGAAAAGTACTCAAATCTCCCATATCATCCAGATTCAGATTCAGATTCATTTTATTAGCCATGTGCAGTATAAAAACTACATTGGAATACATTTGCAAAAAAGGTACTCTGTGTGCACCGACAGAATAAAGAGCACGATACAATCTAATATAAAATACACATACACTGAAAATAAAAGAATAAAAAAACAGCTGACACTGTGGCACCGATCAACAAAAACGATACAAGGGGTAAAAGCAGGAATTAAAGTGCTCTGTTTAGGCACCTAACAGCCTGTGGAAAGAAGCTGTTAGCATAGCGAGATGTCTTACATCTCAGCGACCGATATCTTCTGCCAGAGGGAAGAAGCTGGAACATGGCTTTCCCAAGGTGGCCAGAAGAGTCATTGATGATTTTAAGAGCTCTGTTTAAAAGTCTGGATTTATAAAGAACCTCCAGAACAGGAAGCTCACAGCCCACGGTCCTCTTTGCAGAGCGGAGCACCTTGTTTAAAGCTCTCTTTTCTTTATCTGTGATGTTTCCAAACCACACAGACACAGAACCAACAAGTAAACTCTCAATGGTGCAGCGATAACAGTTAAGCAGAATCTTAGAGTTAGTGGTAAATTAGTGGAAACTAATTGGAAACGCAAAATAATCGTGCTGAAGCGTACTGTACTGTACCGTACTGATACTGTGGAAAAGCGGCATTACTTAACTAGTGACTCTCTGGAAAGGCAGGCAGCAATGTCATGGGAGTACAGCGCCAATCACTAAAACTCTGGTCTCTCTCTGGTCCCTCTCTCTCTCTGGTCTCTATGGTCTCTCTCTCTGGTCTCTCTCTGGTCTCTCTCTCTGGTCTCTCTCTGGTCTCTCTTTTGTCTATCTCTCTAGTCTCTCTCTGGTCTCTCTCTGGTCCCTCTCTCTCTCTGGACTCGCTCTGGTCTCTCTTTGGTCTCTCTCTCTCTCTCTGGTCTCTCTCTCTGGTCTCTCTCTGGTCTCTCTCTGGTCCCTCTCTGGACTCGCTCTGGTCTCTCTCTGGTCTCTCTCTGGTCTCTCTCTGGTCTCTCTCTGGTCTCTCTCTGGTCCCTCTCTGGACTCGCTCTGGTCTCTCTCTGGTCTCTCTCTCTGGTCTCTCTCTGGTCTATCTCTCTGGTCTCTCTCTCTGGTCTCTCTCTGGTCTATCTCTCTGGTCTCTCTCTGGTCCCTCTCTGGACTCGCTCTGGTCTCTCTCTGGTCTCTCTCTCTCTCTGGTCTCTCTCTCTGGTCTCTCTCTCTGGTCTCTCTCTGGTCTCTCTCTGGTATATCTCTCTAGTCTCTCGCTGGACGCTCTCTGGTCTCTCTGGTCTATCTCTCTGGTCTTTCTCTGGTTTCTCTCTCTGGTCCCTCTCTGGACGCTCTCTGGTCTCTTTCTTTCTGGTCCTGGTCCTGGTCCTGGGCCTGGTCCTTGGTCCTGGTCCTGGTCCTGGTCCGTGTTAGGCTCCTCTGGATCGATGGCAGCTCCTCTCCGCTGGGTGGATTGATCTGTTTGTGTTTTACAGTGATGCCTTTAGGGTCTTATTTTAGAGGAAGATTTTTGCTGACGGAGACACACACACAGACACACACATCTGTACACACACACACAGACACACACACACACACACACACACACACATCTACTGTATACACATAACACACATCTATACACACAGACACACACAGACGGTGTGGATCTACTGCTCCTTCACCTGTGTGTTGCATGTTCTCCCTGTGCCACAGGCAGCCCGGTCTGGTTCTACATGCAGGTGGCTCCCATCAGGAACGAGAACGACAAAGTGGTTCTGTTCCTCTGCACTTTCAAAGACATCACTCTGTTCAAGCAGCCCATCGACGACGAGGCCAACAAGGGTAAGACTACAAGTACTGTGAGGAGTACTGTGAGGAGTACTGTGAGGAGAACAGTACTGTGAGGAGTACTGTGAGGAGTACTGTGAGGAGAACAGTACTGTGAGGAGAACAGTACTGTGAGGAGTACAAGTACTGTGAGGAGTACTGTGAGGAGAACAGTACTGTGAGGAGTACAAGTACTGTGAGGAGTACAAGTACTGTGAGGAGTACAAGTACTGTGAGGAGTACAAGTACTGTGAGGAGAACAGTACTGTGAGGAGTACAAGTACTGTGAGGAGTACTGTGAGGAGTACAAGTACTGTGAGGAGAACAAGTACTGTGAGGAGTACAAGTACTGTGAGGAGTACAAGTACTGTGAGGAGTACAAGTACTGTGAGGAGAACAAGTACTGTGAGGGTACAAGTACTGTGAGGAGTACAAGTACTGTGAGGAGTACAAGTACTGTGAGGAGTACAAGTACTGTGAGGAGAACAAGTACTGTGAGGAGTACAAGTACTGTGAGGAGTACAAGTACTGTGAGGAGTACAAGTACTGTGAGGAGAACAAGTACTGTGAGGAGTACAAGTACTGTGAGGAGAACAAGTACTGTGAGGAGTACAAGTACTGTGAGGAGTACTGTGAGGAGTACAAGTACTGTGAGGAGTACAAGTACTGTGAGGAGTACAAGTACTGTGAGGAGTACAAGTACTGTGAGGAGTACTGTGACTAGGGTTAGGGTTACTGATACAGAGATAGGACCAAGATCAGAAATAGTAGACCAAAACCAAACCAAGACCGGACCTGGACCAGTCCAGGACCGGTCCAGGATCAGATCTGGATCAGATCTGGATCAGAGAGAGGGGAGGAGAGAGGAGGACAGAGGAGAGAGGAGGAGAGAGGAGGAGAGAGGAGGAGAGAGGAGGAGAGGGGAGGAGAGAGGAGGAGAGGGGAGGAGAGAGGAGGAGAGGGGAGGAGAGAGGAGGAGAGAGGAGGACAGAGGAGAGAGGAGGAGAGAGGAGGGGAGGGGAGGACAGAGGAGAGAGGAGGAGAGGGGAGGAGAGAGGAGGAGAGAGGAGCGCTCCAGGCTCAGGATGTAACATGTGCTGCTACAGGAGACTTTTGTGGAAGAGTGAAAAGTGGGCCACACTGACAACTGCCCCCAATGCAAACTCCTGTAGCTCTGTGTTCTATAGAGCGCTCTATTCAATCTACAGGTACAGCCCTGTTTCCATCAGCACTACTCGGCTCTGCTCTACTCTACTCTGCTCTGCTCGGGTGTGTTTCCATTATGCTTTAGTATCTGGTACCGTATCCTAGCAACCTACAACACATCAGTATACGGGAAAATTCCTTGGTAACCATGGCTTCCAGCAGCTCTCTGGCCAATCACTGTCTGTTAGAATATGTTAGTACCAGCTTGGCCTGGATAGAACCAGGACCAAAAGGGAGTAGGGTAGAGAGTAGAGTAGGGTAGAGTAGAGTAGGGTAGAGTAGAGTAGAGTAGAGTAGAGTAGAGTAGAGTAGAGTAGAGTAGAGTAGAGTAGAGTAGAGTAGAGTAGAGTAGAGTAGAGTAGAGTAGAGTAGAGTAGAGTAGAGTAGAGTAGAGTAGAGTAGAGTAGAGTAGAGTAGAGTAGAGTAGAGTAGAGTAGGGTAGGGTAGGTAGTAGAGTAGAGTAGTAGAGTAGGGTAGGGTAGGGTAGGGTAGGGTCCAGCTTGGCCTGGATAGAACCAGGACCAAAAGGGAGTAGGGTAGAGTAGAGTAGGGTAGGGTAGAGTAGAGTAGAGTAGAGTAGAGTAGAGTAGGGTAGGGTAGAGTAGAGTAGAGTAGAGTAGAGTAGGGTAGAGTAGGGTAGAGTAGAGTAGAGTAGAGTAGAGTAGAGTAGAGTAGGGTAGGCTAGGGTAGGGTAGAGTAGAGTAGGGTAGGGTAGAGTAGAGTAGAGTAGAGTAGAGTAGAGTAGGGTAGGGTAGAGTAGAGTAGAGTAGGCCAGGTGGGGCTGGTGGAGATGAGGCTTCACACTTCTCGAACAGGAAGAAACCAGGTATCTCTCTCTGGTCTCTCTCTGATCTCTCTCTCTGATCTCTCTCTCCGGTCTCTCTCTGGTCTCTCTCTGGTCTCTCTCTGGTCTCTCTCTGATCTCTCTCTCCGGTCTCTCTCTGGTCTCTCTCTGGTCTCTCTCCGGTCTCTCTCCGGTCCCTCTCTGGTCTCTCTCTGATCTCTCTCTCCGGTCTCTCTCCGGTCCCTCTCTGGTCTCTCTCTGATCTCTCTCTCCGGTCTCTCTCTGGTCTCTCTCCGGCCTCTCTCCGGTCCCTCTCTGGTCCCTCTCTGGTCTCTCTCCGGCCTCTCTCCGGTCCCTCTCTGGTCCCTCTCTGGTCTCTCTCTGGTCTCTCTCTGGTCTCCCTCTGGTCCCTCTCTGGTCCCTCTCTGGTCTCTCTCTGGTCTCTCTCTGGTCTTGATAACTACATGTACCTGTGTGTTTTTTTCAGGATGGACGAAGTTTGCCCGTCTGACCCGCGCTCTCACCACCAACAGGAACACTCTGCCGCAGATGGCGCCCCCTATAGGCAAGCAGGAGTTCCCCAAGCCGAGCCGCCTGGCCGAGGTAACTGTGGCTAACCGGAGCACCTGGAGAACCCCTGTATAGCACATAGAGCGTGTGTTTGGAGTGGACGGACCCAGTGTGACATCACTCACCATTAAATAGCATGAAATCCATGTGATGTCACACTCCGGACAATGTCCGGACACACCATGCTAAATGCTAAAAGCTAAATGCTTGGTTTTGCACAAGGGCCGGTGACTGCACAATCTTAAGAATTTTTACCTCTGGCTCTGTCTTGTTTTAGAATGTGATTTTTGTTGAATAAAAAAAGGATAAAGAATGGAATGAACCTCCATCGAGATTATTTGTAAACATCAAACATGCGAACTGACCAGAGGAGTTACCGCAAACAAATTCATTTTACAAGGAAACAGCGCTGTCTCACTGGTCTCTCTCCTGGTCTCAGGTCTTAGTAGTCTCATTGGTCTCTCTCCTGGTCTCAGGTCTTACTAGTCTCATTGGTCTCTCTCCTGGTCTCAGGTCTTACTAGTCTCACAGGTCTCTCTCCTGGTCTCAGGTCTTACTAGTCTCATTGGTCTCTCTCCTGGTCTCAGGTCTTAGTAGTCTCACTGGTCTCTCTCCTGGTCTCAGGTCTTAGTAGTCTCACTGGTCTCTCTCCTGGTCTCAGGTCTTAGTAGTCGCATTGGTCTCTCTCCTGGTCTCAGGTCTTACTAGTCTCACTGGTCTCTCTCCTGGTCTCAGGTCTTAGTAGTCTCATTGGTCTCTCTCCTGGTCTCAGGTCTTACTAGTCTCATTCCTGGTCTTAGGTCTTGCAGCTGAACTCGGACATCTTGCCTCAGTACAAGCAGGAGGCCCCGAAGACCCCGCCCCACATCATCCTCCACTACTGCACCTTCAAGACCACGTGGGACTGGGTCATCCTGATCCTCACCTTCTACACGGCCGTCATGGTCCCGTACAATGTGTCCTTCAAGACCAAGCAGAACAACGTGGCGTGGCTGGTCCTTGATAGTATCGTGGACGTGATCTTCCTGGTGGACATCGTGCTGAACTTCCACACTACATTCGTGGGTCCAGGCGGCGAGGTCATCTCGGATCCCAAACTGATCCGCATGAACTACCTGAAGACTTGGTTCGTGATTGACCTGCTGTCCTGCCTGCCCTACGACATCATCAACGCCTTTGAGAACGTGGACGAGGTGAGCTGCAGCACGAGCTAAAGCTGGGTGGGGGACTCTCAGGCCGCGGAACTGGCAATACTGTTTTACACCTGCTTTAGTCCTGCTTTAGTCTCTAACTGTGCTTTAGACCTGCTTTAGTCCTGCTTTAGTCCTGCTTTAGTCCTGCTTTAGACCTGCTTTAGACCTGCTTTAGACCTGCTTTAGTCCTGCTTTAGTCCTGCTTTAGTCCTGCTTTAGTCCTGCTTTAGACCTGCTTTAGTCCTGCTTTAGTCCTGCTTTAGACCTGCTTTAGACCTGCTTTAGACCTGCTTTAGTCCTGCTTTAGTCCTGCTTTAGTGCTGCTTTAGACCTGCTTTAGTCCTGCTTAAGTCCTGCTTAAGTCCTGCTTTAGTCCTGCTTTAGTCCTGCTTTAGTCCTGCTTTCAGACCTGGTCCAGACCTGGTCCAGACCTGGTTTCTCTTGCAGGAGGTCTACTTTAAGAAGCACAAGCTGAACACAGTTCCTCTGGTGGAACTCAGAGACGTGGACAGTCTGAAGAAGGAGGAGTACGAGACCGAGCTGCTGAGGCTGCTGAGGTGAGGGGGGGGGCTGAGGTGAGGGAGATGAGGGGGGAGAGGGGGGAGGGAGATCTGAGGGGAGGGAGGGCAGGCAGTAGGGTGAGAGAACCCAGGCAGCAGCGGCCTGTGTGTCCTGGAGTGTATTACATGTGTGTACTCGAGTACATTGTGTACTTGTACTTCAGGATAGCAGAGGTCCTGGACCACTCCCTGGACCCCTGTGAGGACTCGTTTGTTCCAGACTCTGAGGGAAAAACCTTCATTATGTTCATACGGATGGAGACCGAGACCGAGACCGAGACCTGGACCGAGCTGGCCAAGGTACAAGTGCTAATGCTAATGCTAATGTTGCTACTGCTGCTACTGTTGCTATTGTTAATACTTTGTGTATTGTGTGTGCGTGTGTCTGTGCGTGTGTGTATTGTGTGTGTTACAGTGTATTCATGTGTGGGACCTGGACGTTCGTGGGAACCATCGTGGACTCTGGAGACTGTTCATGAAGAAGAACCACATCCTGGTGGTGGCAGTGCCCCTGTCCCCCTACAGGTCTGTACTGATACTACTGCTACTACTACTGCTACTGCTACTACTGCTACTACTGCTACTGCTACTACTGCTACTACTACTGCTACTGCTGCTACTATTACTGATACTACTACTACTGCTACTGCTACTGCTGCTGCTGCTGCTGCTGCTGCTGCTGATGCTTCGACTACTTTTGTTTGTGCAGTTGGAAAAAGCCGGCCTCAGTGACTCCAATTCACCTGGAGCCTCCACCCAAAGAAGAACCAGCGGTGGAGCAGGTGTAGAGACCAGGGAGATGGAGAGAGACCAGAGAGAAAGACCAGAGTCTGTCCAAGGGGAATGGGACATCATCTACTGGAGACCCTGCAGCTGTTCAGACACATGCACAGACTCAGGTTCGGGTCGACTTCATCTCCAAACAGTGTTGTCATGACGACTGTTGTATTTGCCCTGAGACTGCAGGGAAATTGTGCATCTGCTTTAACACTGGAAACCACTCGGACCCTTCAGCTGCTCTGGCCCTTCAGCTGCTCAGGCCCTGCAGCTGCTCTGGCCCTGCAGCTGCTCAGGCCCTGCAGCTGCTCAGGCCCTGCAGCTGCTCAGGCCCTGCAGCTGCTCAGGCCCTGCAGCTGCTCTGGCCCTGCAGCTGCTCAGGCCCTGCAGCTGCTCAGGCCCTGCAGCTGCTCAGGCCCTGCAGCTGCTCAGGCCCTGCAGCTGCTCTGGCCCTGCAGCTGCTCTGGCCCTGCAGCTGCTCTGGCCCTGCAGCTGCTCAGGCCCTGCAGCTGCTCAGGCCCTGCAGCTGCTCTACTCACCAGGGATCTGTTCAGGACATCAGGAAATCACAGCTTCTGCAACCGTTCAGACCCTGCAGCCGTTCAGACCCTGCAGTTGTTCAGACCCTGCAGCCGCTCAGACCCTGCAGCCGTTCAGACCCTGCAGCCGTTCAGAGCCACAGTGACTGAGGAGAGACGTGTTTGAGTGACTCGTGCTGAGATCTGACTGAAGATCAGTTTGTTGTTTGAAGAGTTGAATGTAGTTTATATTTTTGAGAAATAAAAAAGCCTTTTATAATCTGTGTCACTGTGTTTCAATAACGTTATGAATAAGATGTTTAAACCTCCAACACCAGGACCAGGTTTTGGTTCCAGTCCTTAGTCTGGTCTCTGGGCCAGGATCAGGGCTGGTCCATAGTCCGGTCTCTGGACCAGGTCAGGGCTGGTCCTCAGTCCGGTCTCTGGTTTCCTGTGGTGGTTTTGTGGTGGAAAGCCTTTAGTTTTGTTTATGACCTTCAGCTGCTTCAGTTTAATGATGTCAAAGATGTTGGATTTTAAACATCTTTAAATCATGTTTTCCCTCATGAATAATTCAATGTATTTAAATAGCACCGACTGAAAGTACAGGACAGATCGTCATGTGTACTTTCACTGTACAGATGCAGCAGGTCACCTACAGGGGGCGCTACTGCTCATATCCATCGCATGCGCGGGCGGGAGCCGGCTGCAAGTTGCATCGCTCTCCCTTTTCTCACTTTTTTACTTTTTCGGTAACTGCTGTTATAA